CACAAAGCTCAGAGCAGCTAGCTGTGCATCATAGGAAATAGTCCGTTGCAGAACCAAAACTTAGAACCTGGCGCCACATATAAAACTATTGACATCTGCAGAAAACGCATTGAAGGATTAAGAAGAAGGGAGGGCACAGACAGCAGTGCCTGTGATAGGTCATATATTTCCTGTGCTTCGGACATAGGAACCTTAATTATTTTTTATTAGTTTTCACTACAAACATATAGATGGTTTTTACTACTATCTGCCATCCACAATCAACGTGGATAAGGGAAGCAAGCATTCAGGTCATAAAATATTGAACAATACCTGGTCCACGGTCTTCAGCCTCCAAAACCTAAAATGGTACCCACTACCCAGTACCTTGATTGGTTCTAATTCCTGTGATGTATCTCGATGGAACCTCGAGTCACGCACAACCAGTTCTTGACCGTATTAAAGTCCTTTTCCATTTCTGACATATATTTTCTCAGAGGATTTTGTTGACGTACACGTTCAAGATGGTGCTATCTGCTGGACTTCTACAAGAGCAATGGTGGAAAACAGGCTGCCATAGCTCGAACTTACCATCTGCTCACAGAAACCATCTTGGTAAAGCAAAGAATGAAGAATGTCCCTAGAAGAACTGTGCATATGTTTTACTGGGCTCCAGTTGTCCCACTGGCGGGAATTGTGAAAATGACAGTGGTCCAAAAATATCACGTTGCAACAAATTCAGTCGATACTCCTTGAGAGGGCCTCGCACAGCTCCACAAGATGGCGGACTTCTCTTTCAACTCTAATAATGGCAAGATCTTTTTATTCTTTGATGATATTTGCTATAGTGACTGCTGTTGTGTGTGATCTTGGCCTATGCAGTCAGTGTTATCAGGGACTTAAGAGGAAGCAAACTGAATTGTTTTTCCAAGTCTTTAACCCCTTAACTAGCACTAACTTCCACCCACCCCAGCTAGCTAAATTTATAATTTTAAAATACTTAAATTAATTAATAAAATAAATTTAACCCCTGAGGGTAAAAAAAAAAAAAAAAAAAAAA